TGTAGATAGCTTAGAGAAAAATGGATACATTAGATAACAGCAGGCCTCAAATCATTACATGCTCACTCGACAGAAGAGAAAGTTCTTTGAAGGAGTTTTTCTAGAGTGGGCACCTCTTTGGGTCATCAGAGAGAATTGTTTTATCCTTAAGCATCAGCACTGGTCCGGTAACCTGCAAGGCAGCAAGTGCTGTGCTTCAAACTTCAAACTCAGTTTGCACAGAATTAGACCCTCCACCATGCTTAATTTCTATAGGATGTAATTTAATGTTCTTCCAAACAGTTACAAATCCGTTGACTTGCAGTTAGCCCTCTTGTATCCAGAATGTTTTTTCATAACAAAATTGTACTTTAAATGATGCAATAAATTTATGGAGTATCCCAGGGAGAAACTTACTCCTTCAGCACAGGTAGGGATGACTTCTTAGGTCCATCAAAACAACCTGATTTTAGGGAGAAAAAGGGACATGAAAGGGCAAAGTATGAAATGGAAAGAAGAGCAAAAAGGCTGTTTCCAGTGCAGATTTGTACTATTTTTGTAAGTCTATGTCTGCTAACACCCACAGCAATGTTACTATTTTTGTAACTGCCACTTTGCACTCAGCAAAATTTGATGGATTTGTGTAGTGTAATATGTGCACTTTAGATCTTAAGATGTGTGTCATTGTGCATAAATTGCTGTACCACATAAGCAGTGTAGGGTTGCACAACTGAAAATGAAATTTGGTTCAGTACAATTTAGGATTCAAAAAAGCACAAAAAATCTGTCCCTGGCAGATTTTGCACTTTTTTGGTGTTTGACAGTGTCAGAGCAGTTCATGCACATTTCTATTGTATGGCTTTTAACTGAATTTGTAAATCCACTCTTTAATCTTTACAGAAATAAAAATAGTTCTTGAGTAGTATGACACAGGGTTTCATAGTTGCAAAACCACAAGGTTTGTCTGTCTTCAGAGTTTTGTGCTTACCCAGGTGTGTAATTTATGTCAACAAAATATCATCAGAATTTGGTAGTGTGCTTATAGAAATTTCTACTCTGTGCTTAGTTTCAGTATTTTTTAATAAAACAAAGATGGATTTTTCCCTCTTTGCCTTTCTTTCCCCGTGTTATTTGTCAAAACAAATTAAGCTATATTAAGGGAAAAAATAAACCCTTATAAAACTTCCCCATGCTTTCAAGATAGCAAAGGTAGTCTCTGAATTGTAGATAAGATGGTAACATAAGATGACAAACTCTTCTGATGCAGTTCCCCTAACCCTAACATAGGGTTATACTTAGGATATTGGCTGTACTCACTAAAAAAGTAGTGGTATTGATTGCACTTTTACTTTCCTGTGATGACTTTCATGCCAGATGTCTTCAGTTTACAAACCAAAAGTCATATGTGAGAATCAAGCGGTGTTGTTTCTGTCTCTGAAATGCTTTTCACTAGATAAAGGCTTTGAAAGTGGCTCTGGTGGGCAGGTATGGTGGTTGGAGGAACTCAGAATATTTCATCTTCCACACTGATTTTCATCTGCATGTATTCCAGTCCACCTTCTACCTGTATCATCACCAGGTTGTATGAGTCTTCTCGTTTTTACCCGGCTGCTGTAATGCCAGCATTGACTTAGGTGGGTAAATGGCCTGGGAGAAGAATGGGAAGAATTGACTTTTGCTTAAAGATGTGGGGTCAGCTGGGACCAAGACAGGATGCCCAACTCCCAACTCCTTTTCTTTTCCTTCAGCAGTGGAGAAAAAAATGGAAAGGGGACTTAATGGAGGAAAACTTTTGATCTAGTAATTTTTGTGATAATGACACCATTAATTCCTCAGAGTAGCAAGTGTCTTAAGATACAGTGTTTAGGTGTGCTGCATCCCCAGCCAGGTGTGTGCTGCCTGACATGGAGCTTGTCCCCTGTAGATGGAAAGGGCTTCCTGGGGGTGACATCTGGCGCAGCCTCTTGTCGTACAGTCATGTTCTTGACTTGTCATTTGTTTATCGTTCCAGAGGTTTTCTTAGATGTTGTTTCCCTTTCCTTCTGGGTTTTAGAGTGTCTATTCTGATTTAAATATCTGATAAGATAATGATTGGTGTTGCTCTCAGCAGTAGCAATAAATCCATGGTGTCCATATAGCTGTTAAGTATGCAGCAGTGTTTCTATGTGTCTTTAGTGCTGTAGTTCCTTTTCTGTAATCAGGCAGCTTTTACAGGTTTTTAAGAAGACCTCTAACTTGACAGAAGTTTTAACTACAGTCCTAGGTAGAACGTTCAGGTAGAAAAAGTAAGTTCATATAGTAATTTTCACAGCCCTTAAAATGCACTGGTAGGAATCTGGAGGAGGGACCTTTCCCCTTTCCTCCAGACTTCGACTTAGTGTACACTGTAAAATCTGCACAGAGATTTCTGATGTGTGAAGATTTAATTTTAAAACTGTAGAACAAACAACTTTCTTTAAACATTTTATATTGTGTGCTAAATATTCATATGCCTTTTAAAGTCAGATATAGTCCACTGCATTTCTTGCTTTTGCACTACTGAAGAAGTTTTGTACTGAATAGTAGGAGTCAATGCTACTTACACTTCAAGTTTGAACTGATGGAATTTGAATAGAAAATATTTTCACAGTGTTAGAAAATTTCATTTTCCCTTCTGAAAAAGCAAAGCTGAGCGCAGTGCCTATGCCAAGACTCTTGTGCTGTAAACTGAATATATCATTTGTGTGGAACATGCAATGTTACACTTCTGTGTGGTAAAACCTTGCAGTGTCAGTTATTCTCTTTATTGCACTTGACATACCATCTCTTGTTTTATTCACACTGTGGATTTGATTTTCCAGTGTAAAACCAAAGCAAACAAACAAAAAGAAATCATGCAATGTATTAAATTTCCTCAATCGGTGTCATAAACTTTCTTTTGATGTGAACTTTTCCTTTGCTGCTCTTTGTTCCAATCTTCTATTTTGCAATAAACATTTTGACAGTAAATTTTATGCATCTGTGTCACTGTGTAAAATGCTGGTGTTTCAAAACATTCCTTATTGTCTACTGGTTTAAGTCACGTTTTTATATTACTCACTGTGTGACATTTCCCCTTTATTCTATTTAAAAAAAAAAATTGAAACAATACAGAACATATTCTGCCACTGATTATTTTTAAACATGGGGAAAGCTGAAAAAATCCACTGTACAACTAAAAATGTAATATTGGACTTCTGCATTAAATAATTTGGTTGTACAAGTTATCGTACCAGGCTCCTCCTGCAGCACCAGCTGGTTTGACTATAAGTACCTACAAAAGACACAACCCACTGAGGGTGTTCATGATTGCCACTTGCCCTCCCTTGTGCTTAGGTGTTTCCCCCAGCATTACTTTTGCCCCGCAGCATCCTGCCCAGGCTGCGAGTTGCTGTCAGCATAGGGAATGCCTGACAGCAGGTAGGTTGAGAAGTTTGATTGCAAGTGTGGTGTAGTAGTCAGGAAGGTCTCATTTTTGTCTGGCAGGTACATCTTGCCATCTGCCAGTTCACCCTGATGCCTTTGGGGAAACAGTGGGCAAAGGGGTGGGTTTGAGGATCCGCTAGATCCTCTGTGCAGAGGTGACTTCAGCTGGTCTCATAAATTGTTTGTACCCAGCAAGATTTGAGTGAGGCATTGGTGAAGGAAGAGGAAGACAATCTGAAAAGTCCTCAAAGTGGGGTGGGCAGCAAAAAGTCGATAGATATGGAGGCAGAAGTCAAGGGCAATCACAAGTCCTTCAGTGGGGGTTTCACATGGATGCTGTGAAGGGTATTTTACAGTGATGGCTGAAAGTTGTGAGCAGATTACACTAGACCCTGGTGTTGTGCCTGGAGAGCCAGGGAAGTGCTAAGGAAGTGCCAGGAAGGCACCTAAGGAGCAACTCTGTCCTGGGCCTCAGTATTCAGCTGGAGGTGGGCAGGGGTGAGTGCCTGTCGAGGGGCCGTGCTTGGCTTGTGGGTGGAGGCTGGGGAACCCAGGGGTGGCAGAGCTCTCTGGAGGAGGGAACAAAGCCATGGGGGCTGGTGGTAACAGAGCTGAGTCTCTCATAAATCACTGGTATCTACATCAAAGAGATTGCAACTACATCATGGTTTTGAGCTTTTGGAAGACACTGACAAATACGGATATACAACAATTAATGTTAACCCTTTAAGCTGGAGATAAAAATGCCAAGAAGCTGAAGCTTGGGATACTATGTGCTTGGATGAGTAAAATGGCAGTCACTATTACAGTGACATCATCTCCTCTGCCAGTTTTCAAATCATCCCAGAATTTCGTTTAATGCAGCTGTTCCTCTGTGTATCCTCCATGGTTTACTAGTGCTTCAAGAGCTAACACCATTTTGCGTCCAGTGTTGGAGGAGTCTGGGAATTGCTGCACTCCCCTAGCCTTAGGGGAGCAGTTACAAAGTGTTGGCAGAAACCAAGAGACACTTGTCTATACATGGACAGGAAGACTAGCTATAGAGGCCAGACTCCACATTCTGCTTTCATTGCTGTCCAGTGACAGTTTTCCTTCCTTCTGTAGAAAATATCCATCATCTGGGAGGGAGTCATAATCACAGCATTATTTTCATTGCAGAAATCAAAAAAGCAAAAGCCTTCCCCAGTGTCAGAGCCAAGAGGAGAGGCAGCTAGAGAGTCCCTTGCCATCGGACAGTTTACTTTTGCTTCCTAAGTTGTTTCTGTTGGGGATCTGCTCTTAATTTTATCTGCATAGAGTGATGGGATCGATTTAACACCGACAACATGCTGTTGGAGCCAGCCCTTGATCAGTGTGAATCTAGTGGTTTAGTATGTCAATATGAATTGCAGCCTAAGTCCTGTACTTTGCAGGGAAAAAAAGAACAGAATAAAATCAGCCACCAGAGTAAAATTTGGGTGGAGGGGATAAAATTGGTCAGATGGTTTTCTTTTCAATTCATATCTCTCACACAGTTGCTGCCCTCCTTTGATATTTGTGCATGGACTGAAGATGATGTGGTGAGTATTTTGTGTTAATGTGGCCAGCATCGTGCTGCTGGAGCTCTCTTAGCATATTACAGTGGATATGGAGGGAGGGAAGGCCGGATCAGAACATCCAGGTGAGATTTTACTGTTGTTTGTTTGGTAAAACTTGTGTCCTAGAAAGGGTTTAAAATGACTGTAAGTAAATTAAGGACTTGAGTTACTGTCATAAAACAGCCACATTCTCCAAAGTCCAGAAAATAATGGGAACTGGGAGCTGTCAGCAGCCAGGAGGGCATTCCTGAGTCACCATTTAAGGGATGTGGAAATGCCCGAAGACCTGACCCTGGACAGGACAGAACAGTTTTGAAGGTTTTATCCCACTGTGTGCCACCTGGACTGAAATTAACTGAAAAATGTGAAGGGGTTTTAAGGCATGTGGAATTTCTCTTTCATATAAAATAATGGCATTGAGTCTTTTTTTACCTTTTTATTTGATTAAAAGGCTAAACAAGACACATTATTAATTTATCTCTGGCATAGTGATGTGTCATAATGATTTTAATGTCCTATCTAGCACTCTCTTTGTGTGTTGTGCATCATGGGGTTGTTTAGCTGATGTTTACTGAAAGAATGCCTGGAAAGCCAGTGCAAAAGCTGTAATAGCCCTGGCTCCTTCACTTCAGCCCTTTTAGCACATGACATCACTCAGCTGCTGCTTTGCTCATTTCTATTCTTCATGACAATAAACTGAGGAAGGTGGCTGCAAAATGGAAGGCAGTTTTGAAAAGCTGAATAGAAGTCATCACTTGCACTGGTGAATCTTGAGTCCTTTAACCCAAAGTGAGAAATATTTTTAAATTTTGTTTTTTAAAAAGAATGTACTTGTGGACTCCAAATAACTGTAGTACAAAATTTTGGTAATGTGAACTTCAAGATTGATTCCTCTTTCTTTGCAGTTTTTCTGGATGCAACAACTTACTAGAAAAGGTAAAAGCTATTCATATGTACTTTCATATTCACATATATGAACATATATACATTTGTTCATTTTTCCCCCTCCAATAAAGTGCCCTATGGATTTCTGAATAACCTCTTCTATCTTAAGGCAATGCTTCTGGTGAAATGAGTGTCTATGCTAGCTTGTTTAAGGAACATCATATCACTGGGAAACAATTGCTTCTTCTAGAAGAAGAGGATTTAAAGGACATGGGAATTGTTTCCAGAGGACACATCATCCATTTAAAGGTATCATCATCATATACTGAGTGTTGCAGTAGGTTATAGTGTGAATATTAAGAAGTAGTCTATGAGTTTTCAGTAGTATTAACGAAAAAAGTGACAAAGCTACATAGAGAACATATTTGGTATCTAAAATAAACAGTTACAGGTTCAAATCAATGTAGAACCCAAAGCAACCTGAGAATCTTGTGAGGCATGAAAATGTGCTGTGGTCTTTATACTCCTCTGTCGTTCTTGGTTTTCTTGTGAGCTAGACTGGCAGTTCTGCTACAGATTCACCTAGGAGGGCCCAGCAGAAAACTTGGGTATATTCAGAGATAGTTCTGTGTAGCTGAGGGAGAAGCAGATACAAAACCAGCTATTTGAACTGAAATCTCTGAACTTCTTAACTTTCATATCTCGTTTATAGTGTAAAGCATACTTGGACTAACAAAACTCCGTTGGACAACTTTAAAGCTGATTGACAGCCAGGTTTCTTTCAGAAACTCTTTCAGAGCTTCTTAAAGCTCTGTTTCACAGTGTTTTAAATATCTAATGTTTGTAATGAATTAAGAAAATCATGATCTGGAAAATGTGGTCAGACAGCAGTAATGATATTAATACTGTAGCCACAGGAGAGAGTTCAGTTTTCTGGCAGCTTTGGAGAAGGGTTTCTCTAAGAGCAGCGTCTACAATTCTCTTGGGTCTCAGTCATTTTAGATCACAATTTGCTAGTAAAGAGATACTTCTATCCTAATTGCCAGTCCTGCAAATTTAGCTTCATAAGTCGCACAGATTTATTCTCCTTTTGCTCATCAGCCATTTTTTCCATGCCCACGCACCATTACTGATATATTTAATTTATGTTTCCTACAGGGAAAATTATTGAAACTTAATAAAGTCAATAATGCCCAAAATGAATGATTTCAGCTTCCTGGGTTGATTGAGCATAAATAAAAACAACGAAAACAACCCCCCAAACATCTCTTTCTCTGATTAAGCAGATCTGATTCTGAATGCAAAATGGGGCCAATCTACCACGACAGTTTCCAGAACAGGGCTGTGGTTTAAACTCTTCTTACATACCCTGATGTATCCACAGTGGAAAACACAGTGCACTTGGAGTTTCACTGGTTTTCATGTTGGTATTTGCAGTATGAGATACTAAATAACTCCCATCTGGTTTTTTTGATTTTTTTTTTTCCTAGACTGCTATCGAGAAGTTAACCCATGACTACCTAAATCTGTTTCATTTTCCACCATTAATTAAGGTAAGTTGCATAGTTTATATAAGAAGTGCTTCTCTTGTTGGTATGAATATTTTATTTTTCTCATGTCTCAACTTTCTCCTATTCAGGGGAGGGCAAAGCAGCAGTTCCTACAGGGAGTTGTAACAAATGCAAAGGCTCAACAGCAGTGATGGGTCAGAACAAGTAATAAGATAATAAAAGTTGTTTTCAATGAGGCTCTAAGATTTTATCATGGAACCAGTGGAATTAAATTAAAAGGCTACTGGTTGCAATTCCTTTGCTGTCATTAATCAGAAATTACTTTTAAGAGCCATTCCTCCAAACTGGTGCCATTGACTGCTCACCACTGAAGAACACCAGACCCCTGGCCCAGACTGAGCCCATCATTCCTCAGTTTGTTAATGTTATAGAAAAGAAGGATGATTTATAATGTCTAGTCACCCTTATGTTAACCTCTTGGTTTTCTGATATCGGTAACAAGAGCCATGCAAAAGGGAGAGAGTCTTTGAGAACCTTGGGGTTGCTAAAACTAATATTTGCCTGATTTAGTTCAGTGAACTAATCAAGCAATTCTAGAGCCTAAAGCCTGAAGTAGCTTTTTAGTCATAATTTATTGCACAGCTATAGAGTGAAATCCACTTACAGTAAATTTGCATATAGCAAAATTCTGTTCCCTGAAGGGGAAAATGAAAGTCAGGGCTTTGCTGCTGTGCCAGCTGCAATTCCAGTGGCAGAGGCTGCCACAATACTCACAGGGACACCATGCTGTGCCAGGGCAGCTTGGCCAGGAGCAGAAATTGTGCAGCATCTCCCAGATACCACCCACTGCATGCCGTAAAGCCATGCAGGAGCCATGACCGCTCTTGGAATATGTCTCCTTCCTGTTGCCTGCCAGTCTTGTAGCATCTGAAAGGCAAATCCTTTATGCCACCAAAGGCTGTGCTCTTGTCTCCCAGTGGGTTGTGGTAGATGTGGAGTCTCACTTTGCCCTTTGTTTTGGCAGGATTCTGCAGGTGGAACTGAAGAAAACATAGAGAAAGTAGTGAATCTTGAACTTGTGTTTGGTTATCACTTGAAGCCAGGAAATGGTCCAAAGGTAAGCTGGATCAATTGGTTTGGTTAACAGTCACTACTAAGAGGGTCCAGTATCTTCTGGACACAAATGGATAAATTGGCATGAGAATCCTCTGGTTGTGGAAAGTGCCAACCAAATGTCAAGATGGCAAATGGGGCTGCATTGGTGATGGGGAACTGCACCCCAGAGCAGGCAAGGAAAAGAAGAGTGGCACAGAAAGCTTTAAATGAAAGCTTTTGTTTTCTACTGAAAAATTTTTTTAACTTTGTTCCTTTTATCCCAATGGGTGTGAAATAACAGTCCATTTATGAAAAAAAACCCCAATGACAGTTGAGCAGTGCCCTATGCCTGATATTGGTGCACAAAATGCTACTTTTGTCTCAGCAGAAAGGAGATACCGTTCTATGCATCCAAGAAGAGTTTGGAAAATACATGGTATGGATGGCTGCTGGCTGGGCAGGATGGGACTGGTCCTGGTGGTGACTGTGCCCTCATGATACTTGGGAAGGAGGGAGGGGTAGTTGCAGCTCATCGCCGATAGCAAAACTACTGTGCATCAGCTGGTAAAAGGCAATTGCCAGCATGCCACATCCTAATCAAACCTCAGCTCCAAGCCGAGCTGGTTCAAGGATCTCTCATTACACCCTGGGTAACAGGAGCATTGATGACTCCAGATGTTCCAGCAAAAGATTTCCACCACGTTGTTTTTTCTTGAGAGTGAGGTTTGTCCCATGCTTTTTGTTTTCTTTATCCAGCTTGCGATGGACTCTGAGTTCAAGGGGTTTAGAATTAATCATCTATGTGGAAATGGTGTGCAAAGCATTTCTGAGCTAGAGTCAGGGGTTGTGACAGCAGGATTTGTTTCCTTTTGTATTTGATAAATCTGCATTGTGTGTCCACCCTAAACTTGTGGGAGGCTGACTTTCATCTTGTGTTATCTGACTGCTTTGCTTTCAGGGCATATTGTTTGCAGAAGTCTCTTGATTTCTGTACTTGGTGGTGCTTGCAGAGAAAGCATTTAGGTTTGAACTTAGTAGGAACTTGTACTCGTACTGAAATCATTTCATCAATTTAAAAAAGCTTTTTGTCTGGAGATTTCCTTTTTTAGTTTGTTTCTTTTATCCTAAGTACTTTTTTTCCCTATAAAAATCTTCTTTATCACTATGTGAATTACTTAGACTGTCTCAGTGTACTTGAATGCATCTTGCTTATAGTGCTGTACAGCTGCTTTTTTGTAGGTGTGCATTTTTGTCTCCCATGTGCAACTAACTCTTCAAAGAACTAAATGTCCATGAAAGAGCTCATATCTCCCTTCCATTTCTCTGCCATAGTGCAGAGAGGTGAGCAACAGCCCCCGGGAAAGAACAAGAGAAGGAGTGAATAGACCTCTGAGCACTGGACAGAAATTTGTGTTGTACTAACATCTCCCTGAGTCTGAGGACGAGTAGATGTTTTAGCCATGACAGCAAAATTTACAAATGAGACAGTGTGCCAGAATCTATGGGACAGAAGCTGAATTTTTATGAGAGGACAGAGGTAGTTCAATGGGCCTGTGTAGTGCTGGCATAACCTCTGCAGGTTTCTGACAACCTTTTTTATTTGGTCCTGCCTTCTCTGTGAGCTCCTAATTGGTCCTATCTGCTCTGTGTGCTGTCGGGCCCCCTTTCTAAGGAAGCCATTCCCTCTGAAGCCATGGTTGTGTGCCAGGCATGCCTTCCCTGTCAGCTGCCCTGCTACAGCACCCTGTGTGCTTAGTGATGTCATTCCAGGGAATGTGCAATTTGTCATCTAAATTTGTCTGGGCTGAAAACATCTGTCTGAGATTTGCACATTAACTTGTACCTCTCTTTAGAGATGTTGCAGCAGAGCCAGTTTTAAAAAGTGGACTGGAAGGAGTAGATCATCTGAGCTTTTGAGCAGGATGCTGGGGCCAACATGACCAGGGAATTTGCTTTCAACGTAATACTAACAAAGACTGGTATGGTACATACAATATAGAAAATTTGGCTAGCTTGCTTCTTTTAAAACCCCTGGATATAATCTTCTAGCTCCCCTAGAGGCTGCTCTGAGCCAGCTACTGCTGCCATCCAGATTTGTTCCAAAATGAACTGGAGATAGAGAGTAAACTAGGATTGAGGGATTTAAACTTCTTTTTTGCTGTCCTGTTTTTGTAAAAGAGTGGTGCCCGTTCCTGTAAAACTGGGTCAGCAGAAGCACTTGGGATCATACCTTCCACCATCTTTATAGCTAAAAAGCTGGCCTACATCAGTTTAAAAATAAATTTCTCAGAGGAACTTTACCCTAATCAGTCCCTATAGCCAGCTGCCTAGCTAAGAAACATTTCTCCTGTTTTAGCCATGAGGAAAAAGAGGCAGTAAGCTCAAATCTGGGTTATGCATTGAGGATATGCGTTCTCTGGGCGATGTGGAGGTTACTAGACCCATGTACATCAAGGGAAGCTATTAGGCTCATCTGGGAGATGGTGCAGCACAGCAGGAAGGGCTCTGTACAGGGGAACTGATCACCAGGCTGGCTGTGTGCTGGTCTCTTGGGCTGAGTTCCCATTAGTTATTGTAGAACATTTCCTAGTGTAGTTGCACCTGGAAGCAAGCCCACCCAGGCCATCAGAGCTGAAGCATGGCACAGGACGGACATGTGGGACAAAAGCGCTCTCCTGATTCAAATTAAAGCTCTGGTGTGGGCACAGCATTAGCGTGCAGCATGACATACAGCAATACCACTGGGTATAAAAGTGCTGGATGAACTGATCCAGGACACAGAAACCATTTCAGGGGTGCTGGTTATTTCAGATGTGGTTGGCTGGTCAGAGTGCACAGCACCATCTCCAGCGTGAAGATGATTCCTCAGGGCACAGGTGTCCCCTCCCTGGCACTGCACCATGCCCCATCAGCACAGCCAGTGCATCTTCTTCATAAGCAGGCAGAATATTAAGGGCCTTGGGAATGGCAGTGCCTTTTACTGAGGATCCTGGTGGATATGCTTCAGGTCAGCATTTGAATGTTCAGCCTTGTCTGTACACTGAATGAAACATTGACTTCTCAGTACACATCTTTACCAGCCTTGTATTTGTTATCTAATTTAAACTGCATCTTGTAGTGGGATTATGTTGGTTTCCACCAGCTGACAGATGCAGTCATTTCATTACAGTTTCCTTCCCTTTTTAGCTGCATCTTTGGAGGCAATAAAAGCTCAGTTGACCTTTGTGCTCTCTGAATGCATAAGGAGTGAGCATTGCAAAACTAACCTGGTTTTTAGAGGTTTCTTTTCCGACTCTTATAGTTCAAGTTATGTGGTTACTTCCATTCACTGCTTTTTAATGACCTTTCTGTACACAATTCCCGCTGAGCTAAAAGGTGATAGATTTAGACATTTTATTTTTTTTTCTACAAATTAAAAAAAAAAAGCAGGGGACCACCAATTAACTCCAACATGGAGGGTAAAACAACAAGCCCTGGCAATTGTGGCTTGAACTGATTTGCAGAACTGCAGAGGGAATTTTCAATGGCTTTCTCATCCTTGGTGGCTCATTAAAATTTCCCAATCAGGGAAGGGTGTCTGAGCTGTGTTGGCTCTGCACTGATGAATCACCCAACCCCATAAGAAGAATGGCTTACAGTCTTTTTGCCTTCTATTGATGCATTCTTTAGTTTTGGTCCTCAAAAGGGCAGATTTCACTATGCCATTGAATCTTCTCATTTTTTACCTGGTGTGTCATAATTTGACCTATATCTGAACACAAAGCCTTGAAGTTGGCTCACCATTTCACCTTATTTTTCCCCATTTACCTCTCCCTCCATTTGACAAGGTAAAGAGCAGAGCCTCTTCAAAACTGTCTGCTAACTCTGTGAACTATTTTCTAGCCTTGAATATCCAAACTGGGATATATTTTAATACTATTATTTAAATGTGTAGTGCAGAAGTGAATATACTATTAATGGTGCTTTAGAGAGATGTTTTGACCAGCTCTTCATGTGGAGAAGCCCAGGCTGGCAAAATGCAGGTACTACCAGAAAAAACAGTACTGAAATAGTTGTAACTGGAATGCACTTTCACAAGTGCTTGAGACCATTTCTGCTGCCTCTTCTCCTCCACTCTCCCACTACATCAACACTCATAAATTCTTTCTTTATGTTCTTAAAATTAAAGCAAGGGGGCCAAGGTCTAAAATTTGAAATTATACTTTTGTAGTTTTTAGGTCGCATATATTTCCCATGCTCTATAGGTATTTTAACCCGCTTCAGTAAAGTAAAGCTGGAAGAGGAATTGGTTTTATCTGACCCTTTGCAAGGTAATTGCAAGTACCTTGACTTTCTTACATGGGGTTATTTAACCTTAGCTCAAAACCTCATCTTCTAAACCCTCTCTCTTTAATTCCATCTCAAAACAAAATGCTTTCAGGACTAAAGACTAGTAGTAGTAGAATCAGAGTAGCTGTGTTTCTGTGCCATTTTCATAGATTTGCTCCTATTCTAACAAGTAGTCAGTAAAGGGGTAAACTCTTTGTGAAGGAACACAAAAAATGACCTAAGCTGTAAAGTAAAACCACGGCCACATTAAAATATTGCCAGCACCACTAAGAACTGATTAATATAGTCTGCCAAGAAGGTGAATCAGTGTGGGTGACTCAGAGCCCCTTGTACTCTTTCAAAAAAGCTTTTCTGGGCCACGTATTGCTTTTGCATGAAGTAGAGCTGGTATAACTTCATCATCTCCACTGGGATTGCTCCAGCTGTAGCATCCATGTGTAACTGAGGTCAAACTCAAGCCAACACCTTTAAAAATCCTTGTGTGGGCAGTGCTATACCGGGGATTCCCCTTAGAAGTTATTCCATAGCCCTGAAGAGCCATATAAACTTTTCAGCTAGGCGATTTTGCTCACTTGACTTTCTAGACTTTTTAATCTCAAGATTTATGTTTATACCTTGATCACTGAATTAACTTGCTGCCTTCCACACATTATCTCTCACATGCAGCCTTGGTCACAGATGTGTCTGCAGAAGCAGACAGGTTCCCAGTGGTTTGTAGGCTTGGCACATGCTCTCCAGACATAGGCCTGGAAGAGGAGCCTTTGTTCCCAGCATGCACAGGACATATCCAGCAGCCCTGCCATGCCTTTCCTGAGCTCCTGTGCATCCTTGTCCCCTGCAGCCCCAGTGTGTGAGCAGCAGCCTCCACCATGAGTGGGGACATGGTCCACGTGGCTCCAGCAGATTGTTCCCATGAGTCTGCTGGAAAATGGCACTGGAGGACAGGGACAGTACAGGAGGACACCCACGCAGCCCTCAGGGAAGGGGCTCATATTTCTCGTTCTTCCACCTTTACAATCCTGCTGTCACAAGCAGGGTGCTCCTGTGGATGATGCCTGCGACTGCAACAACCCCTGTTTGCTTCTGATCACGTGTAAGGGGCAGCTCTTGGTGAACACTATGGTCTTGCAGAGCTCTCCTCTCACCTGCTGCAAGTCCCTGTTCTCGGGCACCAGCCCCAGCACGCAGCAGTGCCCGGTATTTACCATGATATCCCACTGCGTCGTGGCACAGAGCTCCACAGCGCTGGATGATAAAGAAGGGGGCTGTCAAGCGACAGATATTTTTGGTACTGCTGGTTGGGCTGCGTAGGTGTTAAAAAGGCCTTGTGCTTCTCCAGGCAAAGCTCCAGCCAGTCAGTGCCTGTTGCCTCGCAGAGGAGTAGGGGCTCCAGCTCAAAGGAGGCACCCAGGCAACTGATAACATAAATATATCTTTTGCTTGCTTTGTTTCTGTACATTCTAAGGCCATCTCTCTTGCAAGGCCTCCCCTCCGCCCCTCTTTTTTTCTGCCTGCACAGCTGAAACAAAACCAGCGATGGAGCCACCTTCTCTTGCTGGAGCCTGGCTGGCAGCAGCCTGCCCTGACCTGAGACACCAGCCATTGTTAAGGGTATAACACATTTACATATTTTGCAATAAAACATCAGTTATTTGCATTACTGTGTCAAGTTTTATTTGATTCTTTCACCTAAAAATGACTCATTTTCCTTTCTTGTATTTTAAAAACCAACTACTCTAAGCTTGTTTGAGAATAATCAAAAATTGCCCATTTAGCTAGAAGTCATTTTCTTTTCAAAAGGCAAATGTTATTTAATCTTTCAGCTGTTCATTGTGCCATCATAAATACTTTCTTTTCAGCACAGTTGTGGGGACTGAAATGAGCCCACTAATTGCCTCCCATTTCGACTGACATGTGGTGGTTTAGTGGAAAGAGAACACAGCGGGGAGAAGGAAATAGGAGGCTGAGAAAATGAGAGCTAATTATTTTCACTGCCTCATGTCAGGCTCTGTGTCAGCCTTGTTTTTACAAACTGGAAGGTTTAGCACTAAATAAAACAAACTGGCGTCATGTTTTTATATACTGGCAGTGTCATGGAAGCAGCTGCACATCTCAAAGACAATATAATGCCTGCATTCGCATGGACACCATCTGACAGCCACTGTGAGCCACTGCTAATGAGGATATCACAGTGGTGCCAAGTGAAAGGTGCTGAATTATGTATGATTCTTCATCAGTGCAGCAATAGTCCTGTACATCATTATGAGACATTGTTTTGCTGAAGAGATTAAAACATTCTTAGTTCCAGACCCTGCAACCTATACATGCTACAAGAGGTTATTAATGGAATTTTTAGGGAGAGTTTCTTGTGGATTTCTTTTTGGTTAAAAATATCTCATGGGACAAAGCTGTGGTGGGTCATGACACTATATATATAAAGAAGAGAAGCAAATTAACTATAATTGTGTTATCTTCCTTTAAAACCAGTATAATAAAATATAGTGTAGCAGGGTGATACATAATGATAAATAACCCAAGTGCTGTCACTAGATGTTCAACTCTAATGCCTTTAAAACAGCAGGTTTCAGCAGCTGAGATAGATAATAGCTAAGAACGTAAAAGAGCTTCTAGGGATCTAAATCATCAACATGCTACTACTTTTAGTATCAGCATGACCAATATTTTTTTCATATTTGTTTCATCTCGTGCTACATCTTACTTTTCTTCTAATATCCAGTTACCTGCTACAATGCTGTTTCCATTTTTATTTCAATCTTTAAAAAACAAAAAAAGTTCATTCCAACCACTGGTTTTAAAATGAATCCTGGATTTGGGCCCCCTTGAAAAATGAAGTGCCTTCCCAGCAAGGGTTTTAAGCTGTTGTTTCAGGACACATGTTTGTTGTTTAGAGCCTGTGCCTGATCTTTTTCATTTCCCTTTCATTATATTTTTTTTTGGCAGATGTTAATGCATATGGGGCTAAAGAAGTATTGTCACCACAGTAAGCTGGAGACTTGAGTTTTAAAGTGTTTTTATTTTCTGTTTTGAAACTGAAGAGAAGCGGCTCAAATACATGTGTGATTTGCTTTTCTAGAACCATTTTCAGAAGCTGCTGATTTTTTAACTTTGTCGAAGTGTTATTTGAAAATGTTTTCACACCATGTTTTGCTGGTTTCAGAACTGATTGCCTCTCAGTTCTGAAACTGAGATATTTTCTTAAAACAAAAAGCTGAAATTCTTTATTTAAATCAAAATCAAGCAGGTAAATACTGGGAGGTATTTTAATGTTTGAACGACAAGATATTCAGGGAAGTCTCTTTGAAGGACTTGTGTAAGCATATTTATCAACCAGACACTTTTCCATTTCCAAATTATTTTCCCACATACATCTGGCATTAAATGTAGTCCCAATCCAAGAAGCCTTATGGCTACAATTCATCGAAGAATTGAAATTCATATACTTGGTTATTCTAGCCACATTTTTGCTTAAGTGGATAAGCATCTCTCTCCTATTTTAAGAACCTAGAACTCCATTGGAAAACAGGAAGTATGTCCATTTCTTTCTGCAGCATGCAAATCATGCATTATTTACTGCGTAGTTGAACAAAATAGTTACTGGGTGTGTAAAACAAGTAGCCACCTACTTACTTTAGATATTTCCCAAGTGCCTTGATTCTAAAGTCATCCATCTACTGTCTTTTCTAGTTACTTTCCCTTCTTTCCTTCCTTCCTTCCTTCCTTCTTTCTTTCTTTCTTTCTTTCTCTTTCTTTCTTTCTCTTTCTTTCTTTCTTTCTTTCTTTCTCTTTCTTTCTTTCTCTTTCTTTCTTTCTTTTTCTTTCTTTCTTTCTCTCTTTCTTTCTTTCTTTCTTTCTTTCTTTCTTTCTTTCTTTCTTTCTTTCTTTCTTTCTTTCTTTCTTTCTTTCTTTCTTTCTTTCTTTCTTTC